ACATTCTGGTACAAATATCTTTGTTGTAATGTGATTTTTGGTCTTCTGGATATATCCCTAGTAGAGGAATTATAGGATCAAATGGCAGGTCTATTTTTTGTTCTCTAAGTGTTCTCCAAACATCTTTCCAAAACAGACGCATTCGTTTGCATTCCTACCAGCAGTGTAGAAGTGTTCCCTTTTGTTCAGTTTGTTATTAAGTCACTAAGAGGAAGTCAGGCACCAAAGTATGACTTAGAAAAAACCTTACAAAAAAAGTCTTAGTAGCATTCTAGTACAGCAGTCCCCCATCATGCCTTTTAGGACCTGGGCACACAGCAGGAAGTGAACAGGGGCCACCAGTGAAGCTGTCTGAACTTCAGAAGCTTCATCTGATTTACAGCTGTTCCCCATGGCTCACATTACCCTCTGAGCTCCACTCCTATCCCATCAGTCACCATAGTAGATTCTCATAGGAGCACGAATCTTGCTATAAGCTTCACATGGGAGGGATCTAAGTTCTGCCCTCCTTGTGAGAATCTAAGCCCCCCTTTCCCCCACCCACTCCTGGAAAAATTGTCTTCTATAAAACCGATCTCTGGTGCCAAAAGGGTTAGGCCTCTTCTAGAAGACCTCTCTGAGGTTGGAAATAGTTCTGCTTGCTCGGTGTATAATGTTTATTATTCAATGGAAATTTTTTTCTCCTCTCCCTGCCCCCATCTTCCTTAGTAAATTCAAGCAGCCCTTTCCCTTGGTAGATAACAGACCCTCTATAAGATTAATGGTTCTCAACTATGAACAGTCTTCCTCCCCTTGAGGGACATTGGGCAATGTCTGGAGACATTTTTGGTTGTCACAGTTACTGGCATCTAGACAGGGATGCTGCACCTCATCCTGCGGGGCCCAGGATGGCGCCCATGGTAAAGGCCTTTCTGGCTCTAAGTGGCAGAAGGGGCTGACGTTGAGAGTCTCTACTCTAGGTGGTGTTCGTGTTTCCTTCTGTTAGGTTTTTAGTAGTCTTCTGCTTTCCAGATATCTTTTTCCCCTCAGTTAGTGCATTATGAAAAACTTACATTATAGACATTGTTCTTTAAGAGGGGGCCTTACAGGGAGGTCAGTACCTTATCAGAATCTCTTTTGCATCAGGCATTGTCTTGTGTGTGGTATAGGGAAAAGAGAGAGTGCTGGGAGACCTTGGTTATAGTATTTGCTCTGGGCTCTGAGATCAGGTTAGTCTTTTTTTTTTTGAGACGGAGCCTCAAGCTATCACCCTGGGTAGAGTGCCATGGCCTCACAGCTCACAGCAACCTCCAAATCCTGGGCTCAAGCGAGTTTCCTGCCTCAGCCTCCCAAGTAGCTGGGACTACAGGCGCCAGCCACAGTGCCGGCCATTTTTTGGTTGCAGCCATCATTGTTGTTTGGCGGGCCCAGGCTGGGGATTCGAACCCGCCACCTTAGGTGTATGTGGCTGGCGCCTTAGCCAGTTGAGCCACAGGCGCTGAGCCAGATCAGGTTAGTCTTAAGTGAGTTTTACCATCTGTCAAAACTAATCCAGGTTAAGTATCCCTTATCTGAAATGTTTGGGAGCAGAAGTATTTTCGATTTAGAATTTTTTTCAGATTTCAGAATATTTGCATATACATAATAAGACATTTGGAGGATGAGACCCAAGTCTAAACACAAAATTAAGCTTTATTTTACATACTCCTTACAGACGTAGACCAAAGATGATTTTACACATTATTTTTAATAATACAGAGGAGGCCAAAAAAAGTATGCACATTTTAAGAAAGGAAAAAACTGTATTAAAATGTTAATGTTTAGTATATACTGATAACATTTTTTATATGTTATATCTTATAACTCTTTTTAATGTTTTTTTGGAGACAGAGTCTGAAGCCGTCACCCTGGGTAGACTACCGTGGCATCAGCTCACAGCAACCTCAGACTCCTGGGCTTAAGCAATTCTCTTGGCTCAGCCCCCAAGTAGCCGGGACTACAGGTGCCTGCCACAATGCCCAGTTATTTTTTGGTTGTAGTTGTCGTTTGGCAGGCCTGGGCTGGATTCGAACCCTCCAGCTCTGGTGTATATGACTGGCGCCTTAGCCACTGAGCTACAGGCACCGAGCCGTATCTTACCACTCTTACAATTGCAACAGTCAAATGAGACTTGAGTATTAACAATTTCACTACAGTTTATTCCTTTCCCAAAACATGTATATACATCTTTTGCGTACCCTCTGTCTATATGACCTGACACATGAAGTCAGGTGTATAATTTTCCCTTCGTGTATCTTGTCAGTGCTCAAAAAAGGTTTGAGACTTTGGAGCATTTCTGATTTGGGGGTTAGGGATGCTTAACCTGTTATGTTTTCCCTAAGTACCTTTCTGGGTAGTTTGCAGGATAAAATGAAGATAGTGTGTGCAACAGTATGTTAAAAAATGAAACATGAAGAGACTATTGTTAAAATAATACTATTCCCTGGAAACCAAGTGGACTGCTCTGTCTTGATAGTTGACATGAAGTAGGGAAATAACTGACCGAAAGAATTAACATAATCACGCTCCGAATACTTAAATGTTCACTTTATGGAAATGAAAGTAGGAAGGCTTAGAAAGGTCGGATAACAAAGATCTGCTAACTGAGCATCTATGAGGCTTTTAATTAAGGATTGTGGAAATACCAGGTGTTTTGACAACATTTAAACCTCATAATAAAAGCTAGCAGCAAGACATGGGTGCTTTCAATCTGGGCGACGCTTTGCTTTTATTATGGAACTCCTAGCCATTAAAAATAGAGAAAAAAGAAAACTAATGCACAAGTATTAGACATGAGCAGACAAAACTGCTGTTACTTAGAAATAAGACGATTATCAAGTCAATAACTATTAGAACTGCTTATTATAAGGTCAGGATTAAAAATTTAATAGCATCTCTATGTGCCAACAACAACCATCTAGAAAATATAATAGGAGAAGGTCCCTAGTCAGAGTATGAACACAGGATATGCAGTCTCTGATATATGAGATCTTTTTTTTTCTTTTTTTGAGACGGGAGCCTCAAGCTGCCCCCCTGGGTAGAGTGCTGTAGCATCACAGCTCACAGCAACCTCCAACTCCTGGGCACAAGTGAGTCTCCTGCCTCCGCCTCCCAAGTAGCTGGGACCAC